GCACCAGGGAAATCAGCCACGTTTCTCCTTAGACAAATAACTTCCATCTGAAGTCTTTTTATCTCCTCTTCCTTATCCTTCCTGGGCTGCAGCAGGAGGAGAGCTGGTGTTTAATGACATCCTTCATCCTCTGAATAAGGAGCGTGCTGAATCATCCCATCTGCAGGCACACTTCTGCGGGGCTGCTGGCGGGTGGGGATGGGGGTAGGGATAGGGATAGAAATAGGGATGGGGATGGGGATAGGGATAGGGATAGGGATAGGGATAGGGATAGGGATAGGGATAGGGATAGGGATAGGGATAGGGATGAGAATGGGATGAGGATGGATGGGGATGGGAAGGGGATGAGCACAGGGATGGGGATGGGATGGAAATGGGCATGGGAATGGGTGCAGGGCACAGAGCACCAACTTTGCCCTCCCCAAGCCCTGCTCTGGGTTTGGGCTCCACATACAGCTTTCCCCCCATTTTTTCTGTTTTCTTGGGCTGCAGAGAGCTCTCAGCCATGCACCGAGAGACCCAAAGGGAAACCAAAAATTTCCTAAGTTCTCATGTCTTTTTCATCCAAGTTGAGACATTGGAGAAGTGCCCATCCGTGGGTTCATCCTTCTCCATGGGTGTGTGCATGTGGTCTCCAGGGTACTGCAGAAATACTGGGGGATGCTCAGCCACAGCAGGACCAGGGCGATAACCCAGAGGCTTTGCAGCTCCTCAGGACAGTTTTATTCTGAAAACAGAGGAACCACAGCTCGGTGGTTCCCACAGCATTGCCACACACCATAGGGACAGCAGATCTGCACCGACCTGTTTGCAAGCACTGAGGAGGAGCAAAATTCTTTCCTCCTCACACATTAAACCTTTCTTGGAGATGTGCAATTACCACTGAAAAACCAGGCAAAGCAATGGCTGGGAGCAGTGCTTATTTCTAATAACAGCTTGGCGCAATCTGCACACATTTTTCAGGCACCGTTTGCCTTTCCCTGCCAAGGGCCCTGCACACATGTTCTGCTCTCTGAAGATTTCTGCCTGGGCTCCAAAGCTCTGTGTGCAGACAGAGACTGAGGGAGAACTGGAAATTTTGGAGTAATGGAAAATAGCTCGCTGGGTATTTGAAGGAGTCGGATGCCTGTGATAAACAATACTGCCTGAGCTTCTCTCTTGCAGAGGTAATAAAAGGGATGCCAATAGCAAGGCCTGGGAGGTGGTGTGGTGTCAGCTCAGTGCTGTGCTGTGTGCTCTGCTTTAAGAGGGGCAAGCTGAGCAGGAAGGGCTGCACCCACATCGTGCAGAGGGATGTGTGAGCTGAGCCCCATCCGGAGCAGCTCCTGCGTGAGCATCCAAACTTTTGCAATTTTTTTACAACATTTTGCAAAATCTTGTGTTTTTTTTTTTTTTTTACAAGTGCTGTGTGCAGAAATGAGCCTGTGCCACCCAAACATGAACTGCTTTGCTGTTGTAGTAGTGTTAGTTTTTGTGCACAGTCTCATTCCAGCTCAGTGACAGCGCGGCACACCTGCTGTGCTCTCAGCTCCTGGAACTCTCTGCTGAGGACAGGGTGTGATTTTGGAGCCAGCATTCCACAAACATGAGTTTTTCTGATCTTAAAACAAGGGCAGAGCATTGCTCAGTGCTGGGATGGGTCTGTGACAGGAAGTGCTCTGCAAAGGTGTTGTGCTCCCAGCAATACATCATGGCACAGACACCTGCTTGCCCTCATCCTGGATACACAGCTGGGTCCCAGTCCCCATCCAACAACGAACCCATGTGTCCCCAAGCCCAGTGCTTGGCTGGAATGGGCTGGAGGCAGCTGGGAGTGTGTGCCTGGAGGAGGTAGGGGCTGAGTCTGGAGCAGGGGGTGGGAGGTAAGGAAGGTATCACTGGGCATTGGGCATCAGTAGGGAGCAGGGATCATTGGCAATTGGGTATCACTGGGGATCAGGGACTGGGTATGGCTGGGAATTGGGTATCACTGGGGATTGGGCATTGCTGGAGGTTGGGCATCATTGGGAACCAGGTGTCACCAGGTATTGGGCTTGTCACCATGGCTTGGGTCATTACCGAGTGCACAGCAGCAGGGACTAGGCATCACCAAACAGCAGGCAGCACTGGGAATCGGGCATCACCGAGAATTGGGCTCATCAGGAGCTGAGCAACACCGGCGATTGGGTGGGACCAGGGATTGGGCATCACTGAGCGGATAGCACCAGAGACCGAGCATCACCGGAGACAGCGCATCACCGGGCAGATATCACCGGGGATCGGGCAGCACCAGGACCGGGCAGCACCGTGCTGGCGGCGGGGCGGCGCGGAGCGGAGCGGCGGGCGGAGCGCCCGGGGGTGGCGGAGAGCGGCACCGCCCCCGGCGCGGGCACCGGGGCGGGGCGGGCCCGGAGCTCCCGGTGCCGGCGGCGGCGCTGGGGGGCGCGGGGGCTCCGTCCCCGCCGGAGCGCGGCCCCTTCCGAGCGGAGGATGAGCTGCGGAGAAGCCAAGGACATGGAAGGTAGCGGCGGTGGGGGGAGAGGGTGGGCTCAGGTGCACCGCGGGGGTCAGGTCCTCCTACCCGAAATGCGGGGGTTGTATATCCGTCCTGGGGGCTGCCTCCATCACCCTCCTGTCCTCAGCTCCACCCTCCATCCCTATGTACGTCCTCCATCCTTGGTGGAACGTTCCCTCTGTCCCTGGGCTCCGTTCCCTCCATTCATGCTGTTTGCCCCCTCCATCCCTGAAGCTCTGCCCCTCCATCCCAGGGTCCATCTCCCATCCCGGGGGCTGCTTTCCATCGCCCCCTGCAGTGTCCTCTCCATCCCACGGGTCTGCCCTCTATCCCCAGGATTTGTCCTCCATCCCCACGTGCTGTCTCCTCCATCCTGGGGGTCTGCACCTTCATTCTCATACGCAGCCCCCTCCATCCTGGGAATGTGGGTGTCTGTCTGTCCATACCTATTTTCATCTCCAGTTTGGGGGATACCAATGAAATGGACTATTGGGCTGGAGAAACGGGGTGCAAGGGCAGGAGCAAGGTACTGAGCAGGGTGGGACATCTGGGAAGAGCTCGGGGACATGGAATGGGCTTTCTGCATGTGGTGTGTCTGTGCTGGTGGGCTCCTACCAGGAGATCCTGCCTTTCTCACATCCCTGCCCCAAGATGATCAGGGACCCCTTGGCAGTGTCCATGGCCTCAGCAGCCCAGACACCCACAAAGACACATACAGCATGGGAAGGACATTGCCTTTTGTTCCCTTCCTCCTCCCTTCCCACTTGGCTCCGTCCCCAGCCATGTGAGGGGCTCAGGCTTTCACCTTCACAAGCAGGGAATTATGAGGAAAATGATGGGATGGTGCTAACTGCAGCAAGGGACTGAGCCAGGTATGCCCTAGGGGTGACCTGGAGAGTGTGAGCTCCATAGGGTCATTGCTCTGCTTTGGGTTTGATCCTGTCCTGCTCAGGGACAGCAGGAATTTGGGAATGTCTCAGGGCAGGACCAGGCTTGTAGGACATTGCACAAGTCCAGCTTCCAGCACTGTATACCATGGGGGTCTCAGAGAGCATCGCTGTGCCCCCTGGCTCCAGGGCTCCATGCCAGCAGCAGCTCTGCCCTGCATGGTGGTGAAGCCGCAGGGAAGGGATGGAGGAGCCTGGGACAATGGCAATGCCAGGCAGGTTTGTGGCTCATGTAGACAGTGCTGAAAGTGAGACAAATCTCTCAAAGAGCTGCCCTGCAAGTAGAGCTGTGCTCAGTTCCCCTATCCCAGGGGTTCCTGGAGAGCTCAGCTCTCAGCCCTGTTCTCACCTCGAGGAGCAGCAGCAGCAGGCTGAGCACTCCGGTGAATCCCTGCCACAAATCCCCCTCTGACTGCAGGAAAATCTCTCGCACCATTTGGTGCTAAATGCCTCTTCCCCTTGGAGACACCAAGCACACCGATGTGGGGTTTGTTCCCTGCAAAGCAAATATCTCCCAGGGACTGCTGCTGCATGTCACCCCTGGGAGCCCCTCCACTCTCCATGGCAAATGCGTCCCTGCAGCAGGGCAGGAATGGGGGACATTGATGGCATCAGGGGCACAGAGCAAGCTGCTCCTCACACCTCTGTGCCATGCTCCTTGCACCATTAACACATGAACTTGGGCTGCTTGCAACTGCATTCCCTGGGGAAGCACAACACGTGTGTGCAGGCACAAAGTGCATTTGCAGAAGGTATGATTCCACTGCCCAAGGATGCACTGGCATTCAGACATCCCATCCTCAGCTTTCTGTCTCAGTGCCACATTCCAGGAGGTTCCCATCCATCTCCCCCTCCAGTGGTGCTGCTGCTGCACTGAGCTCCTGCAGCACTTTGCAGCCAGCCCTAAAAGTGTCCAGAGGGGGAAAAATACGGACAGACCATGTGCAGGGTGAGGGGAAGGCACAGCCACACAGCAGCACGGCCTCTGTGCTCCTTGCCTGCCCCACGCAGCTGGAGGAGTGCCCAAAATGCATGAAAGCCAACCGAGGGAAAGGGAGCCAGCAGCAATTCCCAAGGCTGCAGGCACCCATTCCATGGAGCAGGGCCCACAGGCCTGGGGGGAATTCGGAAAACCCCCTGTGCCCAATGGGAGCAGAGGAGCTGCGCATCCTAAGCAGGGTCCTAAGGCCATGCCTGGCTTTGCCAAGGCTTTTCCTGGCCATGGTGTGCTTTGATGCCCAACTGCTGCTCACTCGGTGCCAGCTGGCCGAGCCCCCCCCCGGCCCCGCCACCGGATTAGCCGGGAGCACGCGGGGAGAGCACGGAGCTTCTCTCCAAATCCAACGGCGCGGGTCGGATTAAGGCCCTCGGGCTGCCGCCTCGCCCGGCTGCGGCTCGGTGGGATGCTGGGCAGGGGACCGGCAGGTTTGTGCCCCCCCGTGTGAGGCTGGAGGGGGCTGCTCAGCCCGGAGCTCCCGGATGCGGGGCGAGCGTGCGGCCGCCGTTTATTGGCAGAAGGACGGAGGCAATCAGCGGAGGCAGTCAGGTGTGGAAGAGGCATGAGGGGAGGAAGGGATGGAGCGGCGCTGGTGACAGCCGGTGCCGAGCGCTCGCGCGCATCCCTCCTCCCGCCGGGATGCAGCAGGGCCGCCCGTCCCTCTGCTGCGTCGCCAGCATCCGCGGCTCGCAGGGCGCACCTGAGCCAGGTGAGAGGGCCCGGGCTGGGGGGCGGTGCGGCATCCGGAAGGGGTGGGGAAGCTCGTTTGGTTTGGGAGAGAGGGATGTGCTGCTGGAATGGGGATGAGAGGAGAAGATTTTCCTCCGTTCCCCCTTTGCTCTGTAGATGGTCCGTGGCTCTGGCACGCCATCCATGCAGGCAGCAGCTCTGCCCTGCGCCATGGTGAAGCCACATGGAAAGGATGGAGGGGATGGGAGTTCTGGCTCAGCACTCCTTCAGTGCCTATGGTGGGCACCTGGGGTACCCGGGGCTGGGATGTGGGAGCGGAGGGCTGCAAGGTGCCCCCAGCACAGATCAGAACCCCAGCTCTCCCTGCTCACTGCTGTTCCGGGCTCATTTCTCCCATTGCTTCCCCCCTCTCTCCCATCTGCTCTCACTGGCTTTCCTGCTTTGCCTTGAGCTGTACTGCAAGAGGAGCAGAGATACCCATGTCCTGCTGCTCCGCGAGCCACAATGATGGCACTGTGCGCTCTGTGGTCATCTCTGGCTAAAGGTCCCCATGGTGGCAGACCCTTTCCACAGGGACAGCCCTGGCACAGCTCCATCCCTGGGCACAGAGCATCTCTGTGCACCTCCAATCCATTTATTTTCTGCAAACCCGCTGCTCCCAGGGCAAGACCTTGTTTTCCAAACAAACCTGAGCAAGAGCAAAGTTTTAGGGTCAGGTTGCTGTTTCCCAAAGATGGGTTTTGAAACTGGGAGGCCAGGAGAGGGCATGGCATGGCATGTGCTGTCCACATAGCTGGGACATGGAGCTGCTGCTCTCCCAGCACAGGTGCTCATGGTTTTGTTCAGCTCATACCCAACCATCCCCTTTTCTGGCCCCACGAGAGAGGGCTTGGGAGGCTGATCCAAAGCTGGAGCAGCAAACATGGAGCCAACTCTGACATTCCGCTTTTCACTTCCCATTTCCTACAGGATCCAACACATCCAGCCTTCAGACACATTTATTTCTGTCCTGGCTATAAATTGCACAGGCAGCATTTACATCCCACCTTCCCCTTGCATAAAGGTGTGTGGGAGAGGTGAAACCTCCTCCCCTCTGCACCCACTGGGGCCGAGCAGCAGCGGATCCCCTCCAGCCCTCCCAGCCTTGTGTTATTCTCAGCTACTGGTGCTTTCCTGCTCTGCTTTAAGGGGTGTTTGGGGGCAGGTGAGATGGGGATGCTGCTGCAGATCAGCGCTGCTCATCCCGAACCGTCTTCTACCCACACACTCCCAGCAACATCTAATCCCCTTTGGCCTGCAGGAGAGCTTTGCATCTTCATTGCAGTGCAGTCAAACAGAGTGTGATGAGCTGAACTTACAGAGGTAAGGGCAAGGGACTGAATCTGGCCATGGTCGCTGCAAAGGTGAGCACGTTGGGGTGCTGCATGCCCCAGGCCAACCTGCACCCATTGGTGTGCCACAGGTCTTCTTCTCCAACCCCATGGGAACAGCTTTACTCCACCTGGTCTCTGGAATCTAGCCGACTGCATCAGAAAAGAGTTTCCATCAGAAAGAGGCTGATGGAAAGGGAGAGGATACGGCTGGGCAGCTTGGAGCTAAAAGAGGCATTTTTGGGGGTCCCGGGTGCAGGGCAGACACCTCTCACCCTCTTTCCTTCTGCAGCCGCTGCCGCCGCCGCTCACTTCAGCTTCTGCCGCAGCCTCCTGGAGCACACGGTGTCAGCTGAGAACCTCAGCTACCGCCTGCAGCGCAGCCCCGGCACCAGCCTCACCTGGCACGACGGGCGCAGCCAGCGCGGCGAGGGCAGCCGTGCCATCAAACTCCTGCGGCAGCCGGGCACAGAGGGCTCTCAGGTATTGCTCAGTTCCAGGGTCGGGATTTTTTTTCACTGCTGGGTTTTGTGGTTCTGGGCTTTGCAGGGTGAGCTTTGCATTGTAACTCCTCCCCGCTCAGAGCTGGAAGTTGGCACCGTTTTGCAAGAGATGCGCCAGAACTGAATTCCTTGTAATGCCTTAAAAGAACAGAGGACTTTGTTATGTCTCTTAGGAGGGAAATGGTCGGAACTTGGCTAAAACTGGGAACTTTCTTTATGGCACTCATGTGCAGCAATGAAGCATTGAGGCCAAGGTTTCCGGCCACCCCACTGCTGCCGTGCTCTGTGCTGCCATGAGGAGAAGTGGAACAGATCTTTGGTGCTCTGTAACCCCGAGCATCAAAATCATTGTAGCTTTTGGTGCTCTGTTAACCCAGGATGTTGAGGGAGCAGCAGAACCTGGCTACTGTGCTCATGGTGCCTGAGAGCTCAGGGCATTGCTGGAGCCCTTCGGTCCCCACCACCTCCATGTCCCCTTCACTCCCAATGGGCAAGCAGCACAGAGTGGAGCCACTCCCCAGGCAACAGCTGTGCCTCCCCGTGCCTTTCAGTGGGGTTTGGGAGTGAGAAAGCTTCTAATTGTGCCACAAACAAGGGAAAACAGCCCGGGGAGTGGAAGTGACTCCAATTGCTTGCTTTGGGTCCTCACACTGCTGTGTGGGCTTCCCCCTTCCAACCCCCACTTCTGGGCATTGCTGCTGCCTGCTCGCCTCCGTTCACGGCTGAGAGTTCATCAGAGAGACAGCGCAGCTCAGCCGCCTGGAAAAGCAGCCCAGCATCCATTACAGCCATCCCCACGTCCTGCTGCTCCCACTGAGTGCCTGCACCCAGGGCATAGGGCTGCTATGTGCAGGGGTACCTGCAGCACAGGAACCTGGAGCACGGATATAGCCCCCATTTGTGAAATGGAGCTCAAAAAGCAAGAGGATTCGAGCACGCTTCTGGCTGGGGAAATTGCGGGTTGTCAGTCTCCTCTTCCCCAGTGCCCCTGAGGTTAGTTGGGTAATAGCTGCTGGGAGCTCACCGTCATCTCTGTGCGTGATGGTATGAAGAGAGCACACAGCAGCAGCAGGCTCAGCCCCTGCGCTGCTTACTGCTGCATGGCAGTGAAACCAGAGCCAGAACCCAGGAGCAGAAGCAGGGTGCAGGGGTGCAGCGTGGCAGGGGGATGCAGCATGGCAGAAGGATGCAGCATGGCAGGAGGATGCAGCATGGCAGAAGGATGCAGCATGGCAGGAGGATGCAGCATTGCTCCCAACCCTGCAACTCGCTGGAGTATCTCTGACCCCTCCACCCTCCATTTCCTCTCATTTGACATCACTCAGGGATGTGCCATTCATTTCAATAACCGCAGGATGTCTGGAGACCCTGTTGCACTAATTATCTCTACTCCTCTATTAGGCATGCTTAATTAGCCAATGTTCACACACAGAGGTCGGTGCTGGCACACTGCAGTCCAAGCACTGTCGACCTTTCTGATGCCAGCAGATGCCTACCTCATCCCCTTACTGTCCAAGACAAGGGAGAGGAGTTTGCCAGGAGGGACTCTGGGAATCCAACCCCCTGCCATTGCAGCACAGAGGGAGCTGCCTGGCTCCATACACTGCTGTGCATTCAGTGTCACCACACACTGTTCCCTGTCCCTCACATCAGGACTCAGGTCCCCCCATCTGCCACCAGCGCACAGCCCATAGGACCCAGGTGATGTCCCCAGGGGTTGTCCTGCTCCCTTGCAGTGCTCCACTGGGCTGGAAGGTGCGTGGTGAGCTGGGCCTTCTCCCTCTGAAGGAATCGTCTCTGGGCAGATGGGGCAGGACCCATCGTAGGAGTTTGCTCCTCATAGTGCTGAGCCCCACTGACACTTCCCATCTCCCTTGTAGGGCCGTGGCTGCGATCACTATGGCATCTACCACACCAGCCCAACGCTGGGCAGCCTTACCAAGCCAGTGGTGCTGTGGAGCCAGCAGGATGTGTGCAAATGGCTGAAGAAGCACTGCCCGCACAACTATCTCATCTACGTCGAAGCGTTCTCCCACCACGCCATCACAGGTACTGCTGCTACCCCCAGTGCCTTGTGCTCATTGCATAAAGCACTGCTTCAGTCCCATTACGACAAGTCCATGCCTGGGCAGAGCTCAGAGCTGACCAGCACCCATGGAGTGTAAAGTGCAGTGCACAGAGCTGCAACATCATCCTCCCTGACCCTCAGTGTCCCCTTTTTGCAGGGACCAGGGATGGGCTCACTGGAGTGGGGCAGCTCTATGCGCAGCCCTGTGCCCTTGAGGAATGCAAAGCTCTAATGCAGGAGCTCAGCGAGCCTTCTCATGAGAAATAAAGGAAGCATTAGCTGGGGAACAAGGACAAAAGCTGGTTGTGAATGCCTTGTTTAATAGCCCCTGTACTGGAGGAGAGTGGCTGGATGGTGGCAGCGGCACTAATGGGTTTTGATGGGTGCCCTGTTTCCCCCATCCATCAGCCCACGTGGGGTCAGGAGAATGGTCCTGATCCGGGAGGTGGAGTGGAGAATGGAGAAATGGAAAGCTCCTGCCTGCAGGGACAGGGAACGTGATTGCTGGGGCCAGCACTGGTCCTGATGCTGGCACCTCAGCCTGCTGCCCCATGACCTCCAAATACAAGAGGCCAGGGGCAGGCTTCTATTCTATTCTATTCTATTCTATTCTATTCTATTCTATTCTATTCTATTCTATTCTATTCTATTCTGCTCTGCTCTGCTCTGCTCTGCTCTGCTCTGCCCTGCCCTGCCCTGCCCTGCCCTGCCCTGCCCTTCTCCTGCCCTGCCCTGCCCTTCTCCTTTCCTTTCCCTTTCACCTTCCTCTTTCCCTCCCCTTCTTCTTCCCTTCCCTTCTGTTCCCTTCCCTTTGTTTTTTTCCATTTTCTCTGTTCCATTCTATTTTCTTATTCTATCCTACCCTGTGCCATCCCATCCTATCCTACCCTAGTCTCTATTCTATTCTATTCTATTCTGTTCCGTTCCATTCCGTTCCATTCCTACTTTATAATTCTACCTTATTCATCCCATCCCATCCCATCCTATCCTACCCTAGCCTCTATTCTATTCTATTCTATTCTATTCTGTTCCATTCTGTTCCATTCCGTTCCGTTCCTACTTTATAATTCTACTTTATTCATCCCATCCCGTCCCGTCCTGTCCCATCCCATCCTATCCCATCCCATCCTATCCTATCCCATCCCATCCTATCCTATCCTATCCTGTCCTGTCCTGTCCTATCCTACCCTATCTTAGGATTTGGTTTGGTTCTTTTTCTCTCCCTTGTTCCCATTACATGGACACGCACCCCAGCTGATTTTCACATTGACAGTGTCCCCAACCACACATTCCCTATGTCCCCGTGGTGCCCATGGCCACTGGGCAGCTGCTGAGCCTTGCTGTGCTTGCAGGTCGGGCTCTGCTGAGGCTCAATGGGGAGAAGCTGCAGCGTATGGGCATCGCCCACGAGGCGCAGCGGCAGGAGGTGCTGCAGCAGGTCCTGCAGCTCCAGGTGCGCGAGGAGGTCCGGAACCTGCAGCTGCTCAGCCAAGGTAGGATTGGGACAGGGAGGGGAACCATGGGGAGATTGCAGCTGTGAGGATAAGGAGAGAAGTGAGTGTGTGTGAGCTGGAGCATGATGAGCTGTGCACGGGCTGTGCTGCTGGGGGATGGGTTGTGGGGTACAGGCTGTTGTGCACAGGGATGGGTTGTGGTATGCAGCACAAAGTCTGTTGGTGGCAAGGTGCACTGGAAGGGTGGGATTCTCCCAGGAAGGCTCCAACACTGCAGGCTGTTCATTCCTTCCTCTTCCCTCCTTGTTCCAGCATCTTTCGGAAATGTCTCCTAGCTGATCCGTCTGTTTGGCAGATTGTACCAACACTGTGAACCGAGCAGCTCTGGGATGGACTGTGCACTGCAGATACGAGACCTGAGCAGCATGCTTGGAATATGAAGAGACAGCTCCTGAGCCACTCCAGGGCTTTTCTCTTTCTTCTCTCTCTTTCTTTTTTATGAATACATTTCTGGGCAGAGATGGGATGCTTTCTTCAACAGACGTGGTTCCCAGCTGGAGGAAAATTAGCAAAGCAGTCAGTGGGACAGGTGAACTTTGGCTCGTCTGAGCCTGATGGGAGAGACTGCAAAAAGAACCAGCAACGGGCAGGGCTGGGCTGAGCAGTGTGGGCAACTCCAGCACGGCCATTTGTGGGATAAACAGAAGCTGCACATGGGATGCTGATGCCTTTGCACATGAGTGGTGCCCAGCACTCGGAGTGGCTGGGAGAGCTGCGGGTTCTGCTGGTGTCAATGGCTTGGGGCTTCGTTCTCCCTTTGAACTGGGCTGTCTTCCAGTGTCCTAGGAGATAACGTTATCGGCAGCAAATAAGATGACCCAACCAGGCAAAGAAATTAAAAGCAGGGCAGTCACCAGCACCTGATTCCACTTTGTGAATTAAAAAGGGAGCTGAGTCAGCAGCAGTGGAAGCCCAGGGGTCAGCACGTTCCAGGGGATGCTGCACAGGAGATGCTTCACGTCCTTTCTCTGTCCTCATCCACATGCCTGGATCCCTGCTTTCTGGTCCCAGGCTCTATTTATTCCCTCCCAATGCTGCCCGGGTTTTGTCCAGACCCTTTGCAGAGCTCTACCCCTCTTGCAAACTCCCAACCCTTCAGGGGGCTGTGACAGTGCCATCCATACCAGCACCGTCCCCAAATCCCAGCTGATGATTGAAAGGAGGTGACATTTCTAGTCGCATCCCCCAGTGCCACTGGTGCCAGGGATACCCCAGGGCCGTGGCAGAGCAGGCATCCAGGTGGCACCACACACCACCTCCTGCTCTGCAAATAAAGTCAGACTGTTGTTTCCATTTGCTGCTCTCCTGCTCGTCCTGTGATTCTACTCATTCCCTGCCCCCCAGCTAGAGAAAACAAAGTGAAAGATTTCGGCCACTGAGTCAGGGTGAGGGATTATCCCAACACTGTCCCTGTGGGAGCACTATGGTGTGTGAATGGGGATGTCCCCCCTCCAAACATGGGGTTGCTCAGGGACTCATTTGCAGGGACCCCACAGCCCTGGGGGTTTGCTGTTCACTGCTCCTTTCCCTCCTCCACAGACACTGAAATCTGAATTTCCTCCTCCTCCTCTGCTGATATTGACCTTTTTAGAAATGCAGTGAAATTGGCTCTTCTCACCTCACTAGAACTTCAGAAGCAACAAAGCTGAGCGGATTTATTGAATTTTAGGAAAAAGAAAGAAAACAAGCAGGAAGAAAACCATCCCTCCTGCAGCAGCCAGGAGCTGCTGGCACTCCCAGCTGGAGCAAAACACAGTGTGCGGTGCCTGATCCCAACCAGTTCAGGGTGCAGATTTTCTCCTTGCTGTGCTGTCATGCAGAGAGAAGCCCCATGCAGAGCAAAGCCCCATGCAGAATGTGGCCCCATTGCTTCTTCTGTGAAATCTCTGCACCAGATCAAAACCCACCATGCTGCCGCTCCAGCCCTGGTACTGGGCACTGGGAGAGGGTGGCAGTGGGGTGGTGGCAGTGGGGTGGCTGGCAGTGGGTGGCTGTCCCTGTAGGAGGAGGTGCTGTGTCCTAGAGCAGACCATGGTGGCAGGGCTGGAGATGTGGATGCAGCATCTTTAGAAGTGAGATTTTCTGGGAGAGCTCCGGAGAGGTGAGGGGGCAGAATGGCTCCTGTCGTGCTGTGCCCAAGTGGTCTGGGGACAGTTTTGCTGTCAGAGGGTCCCTCGTTGGGACCCCAGCTCTGGCCTCGTGTGCCACCTCCGTCTGTGTCAGGCTATGCTCCAGTTCCCCTTCTGCAGCCAGAGACCCGCTGAGTTGATGGAAGCTAAAAGCAAACCCCACATCAGGGCTGCACACCCCATTCTGCCACTGCTCTGCTATTTCTGCATCTGGTGCAGCTGGTGAGAGCTGAGCATTCTCCAAGGCTGCATCGGAGCACGGGTCCGCCTCTGGGCAATCATCTGGCGCCCTCTAATGCCCTCTGTGTCCTAAGTCCCAGCATCCCATACCCGAAGAGGACCGGGGCCGGACCCTGCTGGGTTGCAACCAGAGCTATTTCCTTGCTTTCGGCTATATTGTTTGCAATAAGCAGGACAAAGAGCTATTGGGATAAAAAATAACGGCCAGCTTTTTCTTGCTTTAAAAAGGAAAAATGCAGCAATCCCTCCCCAGTGGTGGAGGCTGCTTGCAGATTGCAGCAAGGCTTCGCAAGCAAAAAAAAAAAAAAAATAGTCAACGCCGACACAGTTGCACGTAGCAAATGCATGCCTAATTTGTCCAAGTAATTACCGTGCCTGGCTTGATGATACAGATATCTTCAGAACTGAAATGCTGCTGATTGCCTCTCTGATTCAGGAAGCGATCTCCCAGCATTCACATTCATGCTTGGCTACAGCCGCAGCCACAGATATCCCTGCTGCATGCAGCTATGGAACACTGTTTGCTGTCGGATGTCAGTGTCTGCTCAAGGGCCAAACTGAGGCCAGTTGGGATCTGCTGCCCTTCTCTGGCTGGTTATGTGCCCCAACTCATCAGGAACATGTTCTCCCACCAGGTATCTGCTGGGCTATCAGTCACAACAGATCCCCATCCCCGAGTCCTGGTTCCCATCCCAGGGTCCTGGTCCCCATCCCATATCCCTGGTCCCCATCTCATAACTTTGATTGCCATCCCAAAGCCCTGCTCACCACCCCAAACACCCGCTTCCCATCCCATACCCCTGGTCCCCATCCCATACCCTTGGTTGCCATTCGAAAGCTCTGGTCCCCATCCTGAAGACCAGATCCCCATATCAAAGCTCTGCTTCTCATCCCATATTCCTGGTCCCCACGCTGAAGCCCTGGTTCTCTGATCCCCATTATACACTCCCAGACCCCACCCTGGATCTCTGGTCCTTGTCCCTGTCACTGCACACCCAGGACTAATCAATCTAAGATCATTGCTAATGAACTTGGGAACAGTAGTGGGATGGATCAGGTGCCACTCAGGGTGAGATGGATAATATAATTAAGATTTCCTCAAAGGTCCTGTCTTTCTTACCTCGTTAATTAAGCTGATGCAAGTCCCTCCATGCAGAATGCATAATGAGAGGCTCCACAGACAGAGCTGTCTGTAACCAGGAGGTGATGCTGGCAGAAAGGAAGCACTGGGGACATTTTGGCAGCCCCTGGGCCTTTGCTTCCCCTGGAGCAGCATCCTGCATCCTCTGCACTGCAAAAGCACACAGAGCACACAGGGCAGAGGACACAGGCAGGGATGAGCCTGGGGTTGCAGGAGGAGGTTGGTGATGTTCAGTTTCCAAGAGATGCAGGAAAGAGAGGAGCAGGACTGGGAAATGCTGTCCCCAAGGTCCAGGCACATTTTGGGTACTCACTTTCCCGATGGTGAATTATGACGATGAATTAATGGCCTCTTAATAAGGGTGACAGTTCCCTTAATTAGAATGTATCAGAGCGGGAAGAATTGCTTCATTTCATATATTTTTCCCCATGTAACCTCTTTCACTTTCAGGTTCTCATTTCCAACCCCTGAAGGACTGCAGTGAGTGATGCCCCCCAAAGCCCAAACTCCTCCAGGCAGCACCAGGCACAGAGCAGAACAATTTTGGGGGAAAACGTGGTCTTGACACATCTCCGGGCTGGTTTGGTATGGGCTGTTTGTAGTGGGTCTCAAGTCAAAAGCGCCAAATTGCCAACCTGCAGTGAGCCACTTTGTTTCCCACCAGGTAATGGATTCCTGGGGATCATGGAACATCCCATGCTGGAAGGGACTAATAAGGATCATTGAGACCAATTTGAGGGCATCTTCACACATTACTGCTCTGTCCCCAAACCCACTATCCTCATCTCACCCCACTGCCCTGGGGCAGCCCCAGCATTGACCCCCCCAGCTTGGGACAGGCTCCCCATAGGGCCGATGATGCCCTATAAATAACTAATAGCAGCGCAGCCGTAGGGTTTCTCCATTAACTTCCCCTCCTTGCACCGCAGCCATTTTGCTTCCATGCCCTATCTAAAATTAAATCTGCTCGGATTTTTGCTTGCTTTTTTTCCCCTCTTTTTTAGCTTATATTTGCTGAACTCATTCAAGCACAGTGGGGAAAAAAAAGAAAAAGGAAAAAAAAAAGAAAAAAGTCAGAAAAAAAAAGGCTATCAGCATCATTCATGGTTGGCACATGCTCTGGTTTCCAATCAGAGGCCCACGCTGCAGGGCTGGCAGGAGGCTGGGGATGGCCTGGATGGTCATGAGTGATTCCTGCATTGTTCTGGCACCACACAGATGGTGGCTGAGCTGTGAGACTGTGCTCTCTACCATGAGGACAACAGGGAGGGAGCAGCCACCACCAGGGGATGCCCCCAAGGGCAGCGCTGGGTTGGGGACAGGGCCATGGGAGGTGTGTGTCCCCAAAATGCATGCAGGTGACTGTTCATCTCCTTGCAGCAAGTGATGCTCAGTGCACACAGGCAACAGCTGGGCTCCAGTGCCTCCCAGTGCCACTCCTGGGCTCCCAGTGCCCTGCTGTTGGTGATGCTGCTGCACATCCCAGCTTCAGGCTGCGGTTCCCTGTGCTGGCAGCTTGCAGTGTGAGTTTTGGAGGTGCATCAAGAGCAGCAGCAGGTAAAATCTCACATCCATGTCATCTCATAGGTTGGATGGTGTGAAGGATGCTGCTGCAGCCTGCTGGGTATTGGGGGCTTTGGAGTTATTCACCAGTAAGTGCATGCTAGCAGCCAGCCCTGTTCTGGGACAGAGGGGCATTCCTGGGTTCAAGAACCAAGAGTGCCCAGTCCCAAACTGCCCCTGCATCCCTCTGCCCCTAGGGAGGACAGACCTGCATTCTAAAATCAAAGAATTTCCTGCCCTTCAAAGGGATTTTTTTTTGCTCATGTTTTGCATTTTTAGATGCTAGCCAGGTGTACTTCAGGTCAGACTGGCTCCTGGGCAGCAGTGCCAAGCCCCAAGGTGGGACTGTGGGGATTCATATGAGGGACACCCACCCTGCACACCCACTCCAGAAATTGGGAAGTGTGTGTGTGTGTGTATGGCAGCAGCTCACTGCACTGCTGCAGCACCTCCAGGGCAGCTGAGCCCCACAGCTCTGTCCTGACATGGATGTGGCCTCCTGGTAGCATATGGTGAGATGTGCCGCAGCCGTGGGCTCTGCATCCCTCCTCCATGAGCCACCCTTTGGCAATGCTACAATGCAGGATGATCACGATGGCTTCCCATGAGCACAAAAAGGATGGCAGTGCTCTGGTTGCACAGCTCCTCTGTGCCATGACCACCTCCCCCCCCGCCCCCCATTTTCCTTCTCCTCCTTGCTTTGCCCTTCCCAGCTGGGTTCTCACAACTCTACGCCTGGAAAACAAGAACAAAAAGGCGCTTCTCAGCATCTGTTCCACATTTGCTGTTCTTTTCAAGTTCATTCCTCGGCCCCCTCCCCTTCTCTGAGCATGGCCTGAAAATAGGAACTGTAGCTGTTGTTCCATGGTATTATTTAGGATTTCTGTACCTTGCTCGGCCACTGGCCTCTCTCCAAACCTGTCCATGTCTGGGCTGCACAGCTGCTCCCTGTCACCATGCACTGCAAAACTGTGCTTGGCCAGTGCAGAAAGCCGGACTGTGGCAGAGAGCCCCTTCTGAGCCCCTCTTAACATCCCTCAAGCTTTGGGGCTGCAGCTCTGCCACTGGCACTCCCAGCTATGCCATATGTGTGATGGCACTCGAAGGGACGCGGGTGCAGTTTGCAGCCTTGCACCGAGGAGTTGTGCAGTGGATGTGCATCAGCCCCACTGCAGCTCCACGGCTCTCCCCGCTGCAGGGAACGGAGCTCCCTCAGCTATACCCCATTCATACAAAGGAGGTGGGTTGTGCCTCCCCTCCCACCCTGCTGAGCACCCTCTGCTCCACTGATAATCATACCCGGCAATTACATCGAGCCTTACATGCTCTCTGCAGACGTTAATTAAGCTCCTTCCCCTCCATGGAGACAGAGGGGAATGGCGGGGGAGCTCTCAGCTGGTGTTGTATCGCTCCGGTGATGCGACATAGCTGGACCTTGCAGGGCGGGCAGCACGGAGAGCTCGGCCACAGAAACATCTCAATGTCCACCCATGTGGCCACAGCATCGAGCCGTCCCTGCCGGGTGTGAGCCGCGATGGCAGCGCTGCCGGCTCCTGGGAAATGCCATTCTTCCCGAGCAGAACGGCATTTCACAGCCTTCTAACCCGCAGATCGCTCACCCACGTGGCCTGGAGACCGGGGGAAACGGAGCAGGGACGGAACTTAGAGCACTGCCATGTGCCTGCGGCGTGCGCTCAGAGCTGTCGCAGTGACGTGTGACGCTGAGCAGGGCCAGCAGCCCGGTAGCGATGGACACCGGGCTGCACTCCCACCTGCCAACAGCCTCCTGATTTCCCTTCGTTGCTGCGCGGCCACGGCTACTGGGACGGCAGCAGGGCTGCAGCGAGCCCCGGGTCACGGTGCTCCTAGGGACGGCTCTGCCGACACACCCGTCCCGCTGCCACCAGCCCGCGGGGTTGGGCGCTGGGGACACGGGGCTGCCGGCGGGACGGCCCGAGCTTAAAGCCTCGGCAGCGGCCGCCAGCGCTCCGTCCCAGCTCTCCGGCCACGCCATCCCCACGGCTCGCTTCGGCCACGACCGCCGCCGTGCCCCCTCGCGTCCGCCGTCCCCGTCGCGGCGCGGACACCCCGCCGCCCACCAGGGGCGGCCGGAGGGGAACGCGGAAGGCACCCGCCCGGCTCCGGCCGCGGGTTTTCGCCGGGGTGGGCGCCGGTCCCGGCCCGGGGGCGCCGCCCGGTCCCGCCTCGCCGGGGCGGTGCCGCCGCCCTCCCGCCCCGCGGCCGGGCCCCGCCGGCGGAGCCACGCGAGAGCCGCGCGGCGCTGGGCCC